GCACTGCGCACTGTAACAGTAATGATTTGGTAGATCAACAAACAATTAAGCTTATGTCATTCCAGTAGCCTAGACATTACACACCACACAACCTTAATGTAATCATCAGAGGGAAAATTTGACAAATTTGTAAGAAAGGCCTAATTCGTCGGTAGTAGGTAGCGTCTTAAAACAGACTAAATACCTCAATAACAACAAGCTCAATATTGGAACAGCCTCATCTGGTCGGATAAGACTGAGAGTGGGAGCAATATGTTCGTGATGTAGAGGTCAGAGGGGCCAAAGTCAGACATACCCAATACTCCACAGATCTTGGTGTCGTCTCGGTTCGAAGGAGCCATCTACTACCGAAAAGCGGAGTCTGTCGCGTGTTCAGATAGCCAAGTCTCCATCTCTCACGGGGCCATCGACTAAGCTCTCTGGAGCAAAGCGTCACCAATGCGGGCTGGAACCCGGGTATCATAGGCGTTGTATTCGGGCATTCGCACTCTCATACCACGCTTATATCCACACTTGTCTCATTAACTTAGAAAGCCAGGAAGCCAGTTTCGCGATCTTCAAGCGGAGGCCCTCTGCGTGCCAGACCACAAGAGTAAGGAGACATCTCCAGGTGAGAGTGAGGCTGGAGGCAGCATCGTCAGCGACGGGCTCTCCGGCAATGCCGATTACCCAAGGTCCAGCAGGCGCCACCGCTCCACCGTTGGTCACGACAGGGGCGCCGCCCGCGCCCGTGGAAGTGCCCCATCGGTGTAGCGCCACCCCTTCTGATGAGAGGAGATCGAACAACAACGCAGCTGCTGTCGGGTGGATGTCACGCAGTACATACCAGCTACCAGCCGCCCAGCCATTGATGGCGCTGGTCTCACACCACACCGTGTATAGGGGGCGCGGGTGTACCGAACACAACCCGTCACGGCCGCCGTCTGGCATCGCCACGCCACACCAAGGTAAAGCCGCCTCACATTTTCCTGTCCGCTAAATGCGCCCGCGTTTTTACGGCGCCGATTTACCATGCAGGAAAGCGAGAGTCGACCGCGAGGAGCTCGTCGTCGGCTCATCTGCTAGGCGCGGGGTCCCGGTGGGGCCCACAGGGAACGGCTCCGATCCGACCGATCACGACCGGTGAGCTCTGTCGGGACGGCTTTGAAACACGAGTCGATCAATTCAACAGGTGGATATGATCTCATGTGAAGCCCGGCGAATGGCTTATCGTGACCTTGAGCAGCGCACGTGAACGTAGCCGGGCCGAGCACGTGATCGAGCTGGCACGGCAGGGTACCAATAAACAAACGAAAAGCAGCGTCCCCTTGTCGACCGCCGGGCCTGTCAGTCACCAACAAAACCGCCGACTTTGCTGTTTGTTTACCTTCCTTCTCTCATTTGCATCCAAGCTATTTCCTGTAGCTCAGTCAAGGTCAGATAGCAAGGAAAGTAGACATCCATAAATAGCCGCGTGGAAAAGAGTCCGTAAGCCCGGTGCTGGTCACACAATCGAACACCAACCGCAAACAAGCCCGCGTCTTTATCGCCTGATCCCCATCCGGCCAGCCATAAACTTCATACGACGCGTCGCCCGACCGCCACGGCAGCAACAGACTGTCCGGACATCGGCCGGGCCGATAGGGGGATCACTCAGCGATCTGTCAGGGATACTTCAGAAGACAGGTTAGTCATTGAAAATCAGGGTTAGTCAGGGTCAAGGTCAGGGGTTAAAAAGTGGTCAAGTGGTGTCAGTCACAGGTGTCTAAGGGTTCCTCAAAGGTCGGATTAACACCTTCAGACATCCCTGGGGATCTGTTAGGATTCAGAGTCACGCTCGGTCGGTCGTCGGTATGGAGTTCGCCGGGATTTGGTCAGGAATAGATTAGGGGCCAGTCAAGGGTCGTCAGTGTCGGTCAGGATCACAGTCGGTCAGTGGTTGGGTTGATCCACAACTTCTAGTGGTCCACGGAGCCCAGTCAGGAATGTATCAGGGTCCACAGGGGTTAGTTAGGGTTCAGAAGCACCCAGGACTCACCTCCATCCTCGGCCGGGCGATTGCCGTGCAGGCCGAGTGGACAGAACCCTCACTGAGCCGTCAGGGTCATCAGGGGTCAGTAAGAAGTAGATCAGGGTCCTCAGGAGTCAGTTAGGGTTCAGAAGCACCCAGGACTCACCTCCATCCTCGGCCGGGCGATTGCCGTGCAGGCCGAGTGGACAGAACCCTCACTGAGCCGTCAGGGTCATCAGGGGTCAGTAAGGAGTAGATCAGGGTCCTCAGGAGTCAGTTATGGTTCAGAAGCACCCAGGACTCACCTCCATCCTCGGCCGAGCGATTGCCGTGCAGGCCGAGTGGACAGAACCCTCACTGAGCCGTCAGGGTCATCAGGGGTCAGTAAGGAGTAGATCAGGGTCCTCAGGAGTCAGTTAGGGTTCAGAAGCACCCAGGACTCACCTCCATCCTCGGCCGAGCGATTGCCGTGCAGGCCGAGTGGACAGAACCCTCACTGAGCCGGCTGTACAGTCAGTATGTCAGGGTCATCAGGGGTCAGTAAGAAGAAGATCAGGGTCCTCAGGAGTCAGTTAGGGTTCAGAAGCACCCAGGACTCACCTCCATCCTCGGCCGAGCGATTGCCGTGCAGGCCGAGTGGACAGAACCCTCACTGAGCCGTCAGGGTCATCAGGGGTCAGTAAGGAGTAGATCAGGGTCCTCAGTAGTCAGTTAGGGTTCAGAAGCACCCAGGACTCACCTCCATCCCCGGCCGAGCGATTGCCGTGCAGGCCGAGTGGACAGAACCCTCACTGAGCCGGCTGTACAGTCAGTATGTCAGGGTCATCAGGGGTCAGTAAGGAGTAGATCAGGGTCCACAGGGGTTAGTTAGGGTTCAGAAGCACCCAGGACTCACCTCCATCCTCGGCCGAGCGATTGCCGTGCAGGCCGAGTGGACAGAACCCTCACTGAGCCGGCTGTACAGTCAGTATGTCAAGGTCATCAGGGGTCAGAAAGAAGTAGATCAGGGTCCTCAGGAGTCAGTTAGGGTTCAGAAGCACCCAGGACTCACCTCCATCCTCGGCCGGGCGATTGCCGTGCAGGCCGAGTGGACAGAACCCTCACTGAGCCGGCTGTACAGTCAGTATGTCAGGGTCATCAGGGGTCAGTAAGGAGTAGATCAGGGTCCTCAGGAGTCAGTTAGGGTTCAGAAGCACCCAGGACTCACCTCCATCCTCGGCCGGGCGATTGCCGTGCAGGCCGAGTGGACAGAACCCTCACTGAGCCGGCTGTACAGTCAGTATGTCCGGGTCATCAGGGGTCAGTAAGAAGTAGATCAGGGTCCTCAGGAGTCAGTTAGGGTTCAGAAGCACCCAGGACTCACCTCCATCCTCGGCCGGGCGATTGCCGTGCAGGCCGAGTGGACAGAACCCTCACTGAGCCGGCTGTACAGTCAGTATGTCCGGGTCATCAGGGGTCAGTAAGAAGTAGATCAGGGTCCTCAGGAGTCAGTTAGGGTTCAGAAGCACCCAGGACTCACCTCCATCCTCGGCCGGGCGATTGCCGTGCAGGCCGAGTGGACAGAACCCTCACTGAGCCGGCTGTACAGTCAGTATGTCCGGGTCATCAGGGGTCAGTAAGAAGTAGATCAGGGTCCTCAGGAGTCAGTTAGGGTTCAGAAGCACCCAGGACTCACTTCCATCCTCGGCCGGGCGATTGCCGTGCAGGCCGAGTGGACAGAACCCTCACTGAGCCGGCTGTACAGTCAGTATCAGGACTCACCTCCATCCTCGGCCGAGCGATCGCCGTGCAGGCCGAGTGGACAGAACCCTCACTGAGCCGGCTGTACAGTCAGTATGTCAGGGTCATCAGGGGTCAGTAAGGAGTAGATCAGGGTCTTCAGGACTAGGAGTCAGTTAGGGTTCAGAAGCACCCAGGACTCACCTCCATCCTCGGCCGGGCGATTGCCGTGCAGGCCGAGTGGACAGAACCCTCACTGAGCCGGCTGTACAGTCAGTATGTCAGGGTCATCAGGGGTTAGTAAGGAGTAGATCAGGGTACTCAGGAGTCAGTTAGGGTTCAGAAGCACTCAGGACTCACCTCCATCCTCGGCCGAGCAATTGCCGTGCAGGCCGAGTGGACAGAACCCTCACTGAGCCGGCTGTACAGTCAGTATGTCCGGGTCATCAGGGGTCAGTAAGAAGTAGATCAGGGTCCTCAGGAGTCAGTTAGGGTTCAGAAGCACCCAGGACTCACCTCCATCCTCGGCCGGGCGATTGCCGTGCAGGCCGAGTGGACAGAACCCTCACTGAGCCGGCTGCACAGTCAGTATGTCAGGGTCATCAGGGGTCAGTAAGGAGTAGATCAGGGTCCTCAGGAGCCAGGACTCACCTCCATCCTCGGCCGAGCGATTGCCGTGCAGGCCGAGTGGACAGAACCCTCACTGAGCCGGCTGTACAGTCAGTATGTCCGGGTCATCAGGGGTCAGTAAGAAGTAGATCAGGGTCCTCAGGAGTCAGTTAGGGTTCAGAAACACCCAGGACTCACCTCCATCCTCGGCCGAGCGATTGCCGTGCAGGCCGAGTGGACAGAACCCTCACTGAGCCGGCTGTACAGTCAGTATGTCCGGGTCATCAGGGGTCAGTAAGGAGTAGATCAGGGTCCACAGGGGTCAGTTAGGGTTCAGAAGTATCCAGGACTCACCTCCATCCTCGGCCGAGCGATTGACGTGCAGGCCGAGTGGACAGAACCCTCACTAAGCCGGCTGTACAGTCAGTATGTCCGGGTCATCAGGGGTCAGTAAGAAGTAGATCAGGGTCCTCAGGAGTCAGTTAGGGTTCATAAGCACCCAGGACTTACCTCCATCCTCGGCCGAGCGATTGCCGTGCAGGCCGAGTGGACAGAACCCTCACTGAGCCGGCTGTACAGTCAGTATCAGGACTCACCTCCATCCTCGGCCGAGCGATTGCCGTGCAGGCCGAGTGGACAGAACCCTCACTGAGCCGGCTGCACAGTCAGTATCAGGACTCACCTCCATCCTCGGCCGAGCGATTGCCGTGCAGGCCGAGTGGACAGAACCCTCACTGAGCCGGCTGCACACACTGTCGGTCATTACCGCTGAAACACAGACGGAGAACCAGGTCAGTCGGAGGTAGACGAGGCGGATGAGGCTAGCCAGAGACGGAGACTGGGCAGTCGGGGGTAGGCGGGGGGAGGCTAGCCAGAGACGGAGAACCAGGTCAGTCAGGGGCAAACGGGGCGGGGGAGACTAGCCAGAGACGGAGACAGTGGGCAGTCGCGGGTAGACGGGGCGGAGGAGGCTAGCCAGAGACGGAGACTGGGCAGTCGGGGGTAGACGGGGGCGGGGTTAGACGCAGACAGGGACTGGGCAGTCGGGGTTAGACGGGGGCGGGGTTAGACGCAGACGGGGACTGGTCAGTCGCGGGTAGACGGGGGGAGGCTAGCCAGAGACGGAGACTGGGCAGTCGCGGGTAGACGGGGGGAGGCTAGCCAGAGACGGGGACAGTGGGCAGCCGTGGGCATACGAGGGCGATGTTACACGGGGACAGCAGGCCACTAATAGCTGTGGGTGGGCGGGACGGGAACACGCGGGTACTGACAGCAGAGTCCAACGGGCTGGTGAATCGAGGCATCACCAGCCGTAGCGGGCGGTACGGAGCTGCCGGATCCGCGGGATCCGGGCCGTCCCGTGGGATACCCCCGGCTCCTACCGACACCTAATTTCAGCTATAAAACGACACACAATACCCGGGTATTCAATGCAAACAACAGACAACATCGCCGATCGACTTGTCATGACTCAGCACCGAGTGAAAACACGTTCACATCGACACTGAAACTAAAATAATCCAGTCACTGCCGAAACAACGGGCACCACACAACCACAGCCATTGCGATTCGGCCTAATCCGATCAGGCGTCGGAGCGTCAGCAACACCGAGCTATCACGGCCGAAAAAGGTTCCGTTCCGAGCCCAGCGCGGTTACCGAACACTGACCGCCCTGATCCCGCCCGGTACGACATACCAGAGACTGATAGCCGCGCACGGCACACAACTACTGCTCTGTTCTGCGGCCGACGCTCGCTCAGCCGGTGAAAGGCCACCGATTCACACCCGTCCGTCAGTCACCGAGAGCTCGAGTGCGCAGATGAGCGCGTCCCACGCCGAGCTCGTGGTCCCAGCCCCGTCTGTCTGTGCCCGAGGTAGACCAAACAGGGTCCGCTCCCAGGGTCTCTGTGGGACGCGACTGCTGGTATGTACCGGCCCGGAGACAGTCGCCAGACGGTGGCACGGCGGTATACAGCTCACATATCGGCCTGATACGGCCGGCCCGGCCGCCCCCGGCCACCGCCAACCGACCCAGGAGACCTTGTGCACCGGCGGCCGCGGCGGCGGGGGCGACGGCGGCGGCCGGCACAGGGGGCCGGCCGGCCGGCCGACGTCGGGCCATGGCGTGACGGCCGGTGCAGGACAGTGACACCTGACAACAGGCAGTCCGCGTCCAACACATCCGGGACTATCGGGCGACGTAAACACACACCGCAGTCTGTCGGCAGCACGGCAAGACCCACCGCCCACCCTGGAGCAATGGCGGGCGGCTGCTACAGCTCGCACTCATTAGATTCGGCCGCTCATCGGACACGCTTCACCGGCACGAGCCCGCCGCGACCGGAGGGCGGCGGTGCACGGCTGCGGCCGGAGCCCGGTGGCGCCGGGCCGCGGCCGTCCACCCATAGTGCACCCAGCCATTGATGGAAACCTGACACGCCATTAACACGACATAAACACGGCTGGTCAGACCGTCACGTGCATCACGCCCCGGTGGCACCGGCGGTCAGCAGGGCCACCAGCGCGGCAGCAGCGGTCGGCGCCGACGCGGCCACCTTACACCCGGTAGTATGGACACGGCGGTCGCGTCATACACTGTCAATCACCGGGCAGATTAGCGACGCGCCGCAGCCACAACACAGCGCCGCGCCGGCCGCGGCACTCACCAACGCGACTGTACGCCGCGACTTAGTTCTGTCCGACGACCACTTTACAGCCATCCTGTTTGGGAGGGCGGCGCCGGCAGGGTCGAATGAAAAACTGGCCGCATGTCGCCACATCCGACCGACCTGATGAAACACATTAACAAATTGAGCGGCTGCCAGCGGTCGGCCGGTGGTGACTCACCGCGACCGTCCGGCAGCGGCGCGACATGGCTGGCCGGCCGGCGGGCCATGGCAGGGCGCGCGCCCCGGGCCCGCCGGCGGCCGCATCCACCCACCGCCAGCACCCGGCTAACGGTCCTCGGCGAGATGCCGGCCCGCCGCCAGCCGCCCCAACTGCTGCAGCGCGCGCAGCTGATACACCGCCGACCGTGTAATGCTAAGCATTATGCAAAGCAGGCCACCGTGGCAACTGGCAGAGCAGTGTTCAGAGCTCGTCAGTGTCCGCCCGCCAGCCAGTATCAGGAGAACACATTCAACGACGGCCAGATTTGTTTGGATGGTATTCAAAACTGAAAGTATTTCTGGAATGAACACCGCACAAACACTTCACCCTAGCCGATAAGAATTCTCTCCTTTTGACAGAATATTCAGCATGTTGTCTCTTCCAGTACAAAGATAAGCAAACCCATCATCTTTTATTTTCTTCAAAAATGAAAAGAATCACCACTGAAAAAGGCAAATTATCCTATACCTATTCATGGTCCGCGACCCCTAGGACCCCAAAAACCTTCCGTCGCCATTGTAAACCCAAACCGCTCACGCAGCACCTCAAACATATTACCCCCTCCCCTCAATCGCTGCCTGTCCAGTTTCCGGCTGAACTGACAACCCCGTACCCGTCGACCCCGACCTCTGGCCGCCCCCACCTCAGGCCGCCTACCACTGGACGCTCACCTCTGGACGCCCACGCGGCGACAGAGCGCTCCAATAGATCGGCATCCATCCTATGTTCAACACCGGGTGCCCGGCGCGTCGCGGGGGGACGGCCGCTCGCGTGTCCAGCCCACAGCGCGGCACCCACACTGTCACGGACGCCGTGAGCGCCGGCACGGTAGCACGAGGGGCGCGCGCGCCGGTCGGGCTGGCCCAGCGGCGGCGGACGCTGGTGGACCACACTGACCGCCGTCGGGCACTGGCGTATAAACAGGCGGTACACGGCCGAGTGTTCCTCGACTGCAGGCACGCGCCCACATCGCCGCGCCGGTGCACCCCGCGGCGCTCCGCCCCCAGGACCGGGGATGGGGAAGCATTCTTCCGACGCCGGTGGCCGTCCGCCACGACAGCACGGTGCAGTCGCGGACCGAGGCTGTCCGACTGCACCGGTGGGCATAAATCAGAGCGAGAGCAGCCGCGACCGGCCGGCCGGTGTCCGAGGACTGGAAACAGCACCCCGCGGCCGGCTAATGAAGCCCAGAGTAAACAGACGAGTGTCGGCAAAGGCGCGGCCCGCGCCCCGCCCGGCGGACGGTTCCGGCGAACTGTGCTCTGTCCGACCAGACGGGCGTGATTAGCGCCCAGAGTCCCGCTGGAGGAACGTGATCTAGCCACAGTATGTGGAGCACATACGAGTAAATGAGTTCAGTTTAAGAAGTTTGAAGGTTATGAGCGAGCATGAAAAACACAAAGCAGCACAGAAGGCAAAGTACATAAAACCAAGCCCGCGGAGAGCAGAGTCAGGGTAGGAATCGGAGTCTGTCGGAGATGACAATTCTGACCAGAGGAGTTATAGTTGAAATCGGACTCGCCGGAATCTAACCGACACAGACAGGAGTCTGAGTCGATATTAATTCGTTAGGCATGCTCTAATCTTGTTTTGTCGGCGAAAATACGCTCGATTTTTTAACGGTTGTACATCTTGAAAAAAAAAACTAGACACAGAGGGTCGGGTTGGATGCATCAGGGCCGGAATCCTGTGACCTGTGGGGTCGTTGGATTCAGATTTCAGACCCTCTGCGCACACTGAATACCAAAAACCCTTGAAATCTTTCTCGGACCGTCGAGATGCGAGGTCCCCTCAGTTCAGCTTGGGGTCCTCTAAGGCCGATGTAGGCCCTGGACTCTGGAGACTGTCAAACGACACCACGGGGGGAATCCCTCTAAGATCGGTTGTAAGGTCTTAGATTGGCACCGACTCCACCTACTTCAAATGCACGAATATATCGTCATTGAACAAAACAAATATAATACTCGAAATCAGGAGCACGAAAAATAAACATATACACCTCACTTCGAGGCGTTCTGGCAGGGTCCGATTTCCCCGACACCTGGGTCGTGGACCTGACCTGGAAGGTCAGCCAATGAACTAGGACCTTAAAATTGGCCAGCATCGTCTTCCAGTGGTCACGGGCAACACTTCCATCGGCATCGTCCACGCTCGGTTCTTCCGCCAAGTTCGAGCTCAATCATGAACCGCACGGCTGGGGGTCCCCCCCAGCCGGATCCCCCCCCCCCCCATATACGTTAGACGCTGTACAAAGGTTCATCTTCATCACCAGCGAGGGTTCATCTTCCTCGGCCAAGGGGAGGGGGCGGGTGCCACCCCTGAGGTTTCTTGAGTGGCGAACACGCTAATGATAAAGCTGAATGTTTCATTTGATCATTGTCTGATTTGATTCAATTGATTCATTTGATTCAAGGCAGATCTTGTGACATCAAACACATTTTTAGGTTAAGTCAGGTCACTGACCTTTGACGTCACAAGAAAATCTCCGCAAGGTCCTGAAAGTTGCACGTTCGCAACGCCTTCAGTGCCATAGGAGCTTTTGTAGGGAGATATCACTAGGACTTAGTAACCTCCCGAGGCCGCCTCACACTTGCACATTTCGGATTTTTCCTTAGGGTCACCTAATGTCAGTTCGCTCGCGCGACCTCACCATTAGGTTTCAGCAATGGGGAAACATGCTAATTGTTCTTTTGGCGCCGGAAATGATCTTCAAGCGCATGTAATCGTACTTCACTGACTCCTTGCAAGTTGCAATGCTTAACTGCTGCATAGTTGACCTTTACGTGAGTCACCAGGGTCATCGGAGTTTTTAGTCGACAACTCCCGATCAAATTGAGCTAGCGAGTCGGGAAAGTCACCAATGAGCCCAGGAATCAGGAAGACCTGCCGTGTCGAATGGTATGCGAATGGTATCCTCCGACAAGCATCGTGACCTGAGTGGCTCTTAACTGACGACCAGAGGTAAACAACTTAAAATAACCTCACCCAAACAAAAAGTATACCTTTCGACCATAGACCACTACATATTCTCGGCATGTCAAGGTCTATGATTTGAAGCATGTCGAACACGATGGTGCCCAAAGTGCGGCTCTACAACATTTTTTTTTTTTTTAGCAACGCTATTGAGCAAAAACAGCACCCCTACCTTATGGCACTTCAGCTGAACTCTGAGATCACCGGTTTGATATGACACCTTAAAATCGGTTATCAGTCGCTGCGTTTCGTAATGGCACACACGCTCATTTTTTCCGCGAGGCTCAAGTTGAATAAGGGGTGGAACGGCAAGGGGGTCGCATCCGCCCCCGCCCCCTCGGTCGGAACGCATGTAGAAAACTGATAGGTCCAGCGAGGGTTAAAAATCCACACCGAGGGCGGGGTTACCCAAAATCAACTCGCGGCACCACATACAACCGAGAAATAAACTGTAGTGTTTTCCAAGGCAAGATTAGGAAAGTCTAGAACCCAATGTAAACATCTGATCAAGAAGAAAGGATGAAGGGCGCAAGGTGGGGTAAAATAAGCTTTAAAATAGGTACGTACGAAGACTAAAATTAGAGCATGGGTGCCTAATAAACAACTCATTTTTTCTACCATACACGCACATCACGAAGCGATATTAACCCTAGCTGGCATTTGCCATTATGCATCCTTTGAGGACATACGAATGAGGGGGGGGGGAGGTGGTACAACACCCAGTAACGCTGACGTTTGTTCCCTAATAAAGTCAGATGAGAATTTGGTTTCACGCTTTCGCATTCACGTTTTATTGGTAGACACCCATAGATTTATTTCTTTTTCTAAAGCGGAACTTTTTAGTCCGTGACCCGTCGCTTTCCTGCTTCCCCAGTCCCTATTCTCGTCACTATTTCATTTTGAGCCAGTTCCGACTCAACCGTCCCGCAGCCCGGGAATCTGGAGTTACACTTGGCGACTTAGCGACCTTAATTGGCATGCCTGAGTTCTGACCGATGGTCAAGTCAATGGTGAATCCTCCCGTAACCTCAAGCGGAGTTCAACGCATTTGAAAATAGACTTTCTGCCAGGCTGGTTGGCATTAGTAGCGATAAACATTATAGGTAGGTACAACTTTCCACGCTGAATTTCCGGCTGCTCCTGGGACAACAAATATTAAACTGGCTAGCGCCTGTCAAGTCGAATACCTACATGAGTTCGGAACTATCGTAGCTCTGCACAGGTCACAACCTTTTGTGGTTACTTAATCCTTCTAAGCTCGATATACCTACTCAAAAGTGCGTTCATCTGAACTCTAAATATGAATACGCCTTGCTTGAAATTTTGATCTTTTGAGTTCCTCCTGACCTCTCCTGTTCGCAACCTCGAAACTCAACATTTTAAGAGTCACGGCTGACCTCTTTTAGCTCAGCTATCCGCGACGTGCGCCACGTGCGTTTCGCTACGATGCTTATTTTCGAAAATAATATCAAGAGGAGGCGATGAATGCCTCCCCCGCCCCTCCATTCAATCGTGCTCGGCTGAAGGTTCGATGAAGCACGGGAGACTTCGCAAACTAACTATTATAAATCGACAATTGGCTTACAAGGTGGCTGTGCTCTCAACAGCTATGCTAGTACATAGGCACCTACACACATCTGGGCAGCAAGACTCAGACAGAATACCTACAGCCCCTCGCCCTCAGAGCAGACCAGAGTTTGAGAAGCACTGGTCAGTGGTCAGAGAATGTTTTGGTTCACAGCCTGAACAGATCAGCAGCTCATACTATTACAATTTTTAATAGATTAACACATCAGCAGGGTTCTGTTTGGTGTGATGATACTGGTCCAGTAGACATTACACTACACTAAGCCCTGTCCAATGGTTTGATACAGGCCACGGTTGAGGGGGTATGTTTTTAGTCCTACAGTGCAGTGGTATGCATGCCAAAGGACTATCCAATGGCATGACAAAACTGACCCCTGTAGAAGACCAGAGGTTACCTGTATTTATCTTCAGTAAAAAGATTTTGGCTCCACATAAACCCCTTTTGTACTTATACTGGTCCCAGTGCACCTATATTACCCTCTCAATCCTGTTCTGATGTTCATCAATGGTTGCCACAGGGCAAAGGGACGCATTACATAGGTAGCCAACAACTGAAACCAAGACTAATACATTTCTACCCACAAAGCACTGCCACCCTAGTTGATCTGTGTGATCATGCACTGCAGAAAGCAGTTAGTAGTTAGGTATGTAAGGTACTATCTAGAATATTACCAAGTGATGCCAAAAAACCTCTGAGCGCATTGCCTCATAAGTCATAAGAAGGCATATCTATAAGCTAGGCATAAATAGAGACATGAAGTTGTGTGATCTAACCAGCTAGTCTGGGCAACAATCTTGAATTTGATTTGATCAGTAACCTAGAATATAAATAACAGTGGAGGCACCAGTGTAACTGAAAGCTTGTTATTTTGATATGGCATTGAAAGAGTGGCCTCAAAATATTACTTAGAAAGAGATGCTTTATGTATGACAATAAGTTAGGCCCTGAGCTTATCACATTTCATTGGCTATTAGTTCAATAGCAATTTATAAATAAATCTGGGAAGCTCTGCAGGAAAAGCATATGATTAAGATGGTGCTTCATCCCAGACCGCATAAGAAAAAGTTTATGAAATTCATAAAAGTATATCAAAATTTATATTTCAGCACCTAGCCTATAGCCAAATGAGGTGGGTGATGTTGGGGTGATGATTTTGACAGTGTTGCCCATTGATGTTGGTCATGGTGACAAATATAAAATGCAAGAGCTTATTACAGAACATGATCCATCTCATTACAAAAAGTAACAACGAGTTGAGGTGGTTGCAAATCAAATTGATGAGCAGACATCAATATCCTGAACGATTGAACATGTACGTAACACATTATTAAACCCCATCATAGCATAGTCAGAAGTAA